GCCTGTCACCCAGAGGGGTAGGCAGAGACTACAGACTTCCATTTGGCACGATCCTGACACACCTCTCTTGCCTCCTTCACATCCATACACCTACGCATAATGCTCGTCGGTTAAGGGTACTCTCAATTTGGCCCGTTTTCAATAAATCGCCAATTTGGTCGATAAATTTTCGCCTTGGTCATCCCTTTCCGACTCTGTTATTCACTTCTGCACCATAAATTTTCTTTGTCACTCTTTCCTCATTCATTCTTTCCACATGACCAAACCACCGAAGTATTCCTTTCTTAATCCTGGTCACAACATTATCTGGCAAACCACACTCTTCTCTTATTACACAATTTCTTACCCTGTAATTCAGGTTCAGCCCTTTTTTTTTTTTTTTTTTTTTGCATGGGGAAATGCCTACGCATACCCGCCTCGCGGGGGGCAAGGACGGGTTATGTCGGACTCGCACCGACTAAAACCCCATGGTGTTCCACCTTTGTCGCATATTGGCAGGGCTACGGGAACGCTTTCGCACACATCCGCGGCCCTACTAGCGTCTGCCGCCTCATGGCAGCACCTCCTCGGGAGAGAAAATTCCTCCCCGTTCTCCTTCCCAGGTAAGGCGCACCAGAACACATGGCGCGCCTTCCTCCACGGCCTCCAATTACGTCTGTGCAACAGACGCCCCCGCGTCCGATGCACAAAGGCCATGGGGCCAGGAAGAACGAGCACTTAGAAGTACTAGCCTTCCCGACCCCAGCGGCGGATCTGGTCTATGGCTCCGCTGCCAACCAAGATTCGGCTGCGGAGGGTAGGGAGAGCGGCGCCTCGATATACCGACAATCCTCTCCCCCCCGCAGACCCACCACCACCGCATCAACGGTGCGGCCCCGTTTGAGTCGCGAAGGATAGGGCGAGTGGCGCATCGCCATACCAACACTCCTCTTCCTCCGCGACTCCACCTCGGCTGCAGCGGTAGAGGGTGCGCGAGTCCCCACTCGCTGCAGTCCACCAGCACACATCCGAAGTGGGCTCCCCAAGCCCACTCGGAGTGGCCACCTCAGGCCGGCCCTTCACCTCGGGCCAGCCACGTGGGTTCCTCTTTGTTCACCGTAGGAGACCAAGCCACGGCTACTAAGCCCCCCCGCCACGACAAGGCGGGAACCCGTTCGGGGGGGGTGCCCTAACATACTCCTTAACGACCGCATTTCTACTGCGTTTATTCTACTCTCGTGCTTCTTTTGCCACACCCAACTTTCACTACCATACGTTAAAGTAGGGACCAACACAGCATTGTGAATTGCCATACGTGCCTTTTTCGACACATTTTGACTCTTCACAATAGAGTGCAAGGCCCCATTTACTCTATTTCCCGCATTCACTCGTCGTTCTATATCCTTATCATATCTCCCATCCCTGCTAAATACGCAGCCCAAATATACAAAATCATCTTCTTGCTCGATCAACTCCCCTTCTATTCTTATTTAACAAATCGTTTTACTTTCTTCTCTTTCAAAAACCATAACCTCGTCTTACTTGCGTTCACTTTCATACCCCTTTCTTTTAATGATCCGTTCATTAATGTAACCGTCATTTGCAACTTCGCCGCCGACGACGCAAGAATAACTTGATCATCGGCGTACAAAAGGCATTTGACGGTAAACTCACCCATTCTTAATCCGCATTCTTCAACTTTCAAATTTTGCAAACAACTGTCCATAAATAGGTTGAACAGCCACGGGGAATCCACACAGCCCTGTCTGACACCTTTATGTATGTCAAACCAGTCCGAGTAGACCCCGTTGATTCTAACACAAGCATTAGAGTCCCTATAAAGAGACTCCAATACCTGTATCAAGCCAGCGCTCAACCCAAATGAGTTCAGTGTTTACCATAGCAAATCCCTATAAACTCTGTCATAGGCCTTTTCCAAGTCCATGAACGCACAAAAAATTTTTTGGTTTTTGGCCAGAAACTTCTCCGCGATCATGCGCATGGAAAAGACTTGAGCTGTACATCCCATTCCCTTTCTAAATCCCGCTTGCACATCCCAAATTTTTCCATCAGTTTCTTTCATGACCCTTTCAATCAGTACCTTAGCATACAATTTTCGCACAATGCTAAGAAGGCTGATGCCACGGTAGTTTTTATAGTCCTGCTGCGACCTTCTTCCTTTATATACTGGGACTATCACGGCTTTGCACCAGTCTACCGGTACCCGCTTCAGTTACCAGCATAAATGAAACAAGGTGTGCAGCAGGCCTGCCACCACTTCCTCTCCAGCCCTTAGCATTTCGAGTGAAACTCTATCATATCCGGCAGCCTTACCTGCTTTCATGCTTTTCATTGCTTTCATTATTTCATCTATACTTATCTCGCTACCTCCTTCCTCTCTTTCGGAGTTCCTATTTCATTCAGTTCATACGTTGTCTCCTCACTCATAAACATGCTTTCAAAATATTCCTTCCATCTCTTTAAACTCAAAACTTCATCATTCATAATATAGCCATTCTCGTCTCTTATAGCATTCATCATAGGCTGTTTTGAATGTCCCCTGGCAGTTCTTACAAGTTTCCAGAACATTTTAATATTTGCCTGTAAGTTATCCGATATTCTTCTATCATTCTTATCCGTTCTTTCTTGCTTTTTTCTTTCAACTACTTCTTTTACTCTTTTATTAAGATGTCTAAAGACTGCCTTTTTTCTTTCAATATCACAATTCGTACCACTAGAATTAGCAGCCTTTGTTGCTAGTAAATCTAGCCATGCTCTCTTCTTTGCTTCAACTTCCATACGTATCTCATCATCCCACCATAACGTATTATTTTTCCTTTCATTCTTTCTCTTACTAACACCACATACTTCGGTAGCTGCATCCACTAAACCTTTCTTTACATTTTGCCATATATTCTCCAAGTCTAACTCCTTCATACATAATTCATCCAAACCACTTATATTTTCTTTCAGTCTACATTTGAACTTGTTTTTATCACTTTCATCTTGTAAACTTTCTGTTCTAATACGCTGTAACGCAGTGGTAGACACAGACGATCGATGGCGCCAACGCCTGAATAGACCATTAATTCGGCATAAAACTAAATAATGATCCGTTCCTACGTTAGAACCCCGGTAAACTCTCGTATCTACCACTGCGCCCCTCAATCTTTCATCCACAATTATGAAATCTATCATGGTTCTATCGTCACCTCTTTCCCAAGTATACATGTGAATCCTCTTGTGGCGAAAGCAAGTGTTCGTCACAAAAATATTCTTTTCCATACATACGGTGAGGAGACTTTCACCATTCTCATTTATACTTTCATCACCAAACGTTCCCAATATCCTTTCATAACCAAGCCTCTTGACCCCAACCCTTCCATTAAAATCTCCTAGCATAATAATATTTTCATTTCCCTTACACTTCATTAACACCATCCTTACCATTTCCCAAAACTGCTCTCGGATATAAGTGGGCTTAGACATGTCTGGGGCGTAGACCCCTAACACAAACAACTTCTTTAAGCCCACTTTCATTCGTATCCATAGCAGTCTTGGGCTTACACATTCATACTCTTTCACACATTGGCCCATTCTTTCTGAAAGGATGATACCTACTCCCTGGCATGCCCGCTCGATCTCGTCTACACCAGACCAGTATGCGGTATACATGCCATGTGTAGTGACATCCTTCCCCTTCCTTTTCGTCTCATTTACGCATAATACATCTATTCCTCTATCATACATTATATCGCATACTTCATCCATTTTATCATACATTGCCCCACATACATTCAACGTAGCCAGACGGGCCTCTGCAATTTTTTTCTCCTTTTCTTTTCGCTTTTCGCCTCTCCGGGAGACAGACGTGACGTGGCAAGTCGCTGGTTTTCCTCACGGAGATTCTTCGCACCCCTGCCCCATTAAAGGGGCGCCGGGAACTCGGGGCCATTTCTTTAATTCGATTCCTCATGGTGCGAAATGCGGTGGTATATTTAACGCCGCTACTACGGCGTGGAGCCGAGTCTGTGGTATCGGCTTGTCGCTCATTTAGCACCACCCGGGGGACACGTGTAGAGTGGGCCTAGGAACAGGTGGTCAAAGCCTACGGACGCGAGCGACTTATCCCCCTTTTTTTAGTATTAAGTATTAAAATACGAAAATTTTAATTAAACTAATTGCATAAACATTTTTAATTAAAACCGAGCAAAGCTCGGATCGGTGATCACTTGTCTCCTATCTTTTTAGTACGTATGCGTTTTGAGTGTGTTTCTGTGTTTCCCGTTATTTCATTGATTTATATTGCTCGACCACTGCTTTCTTTTACGGACTCCTGTCTCTCTCCTGTATCTTACTTAATTTGTGTGACCTTTACTATCATACCGGACACCGATAATCTCGTTTACTAGTTTGAATTTGGCTTGGTATTGTGGATTTCACGGCCTGGATTTTATCGATTGGATATTGACACAATATATATATATATATATATATATATATATATATATATATATATATATATATATATATATATATATAAACAACTGTCTAATAAAAAAATAGCAATCGCACTTCAAAAATTAGCTGTTTAGTTTCGGTTGTTACCAACTTGTTGCATAACCTCACTTTTACTAAATTCCATATAACTTTGCTCTCAGATTGTCAAAATACGCCCAATTTTCAGCAATGTTTTTATAATATGTAAGCTATTGATTGACACCACTTTCATCTTTTTACAATCTGGGCCCAAGAATGTATGAAAGCGTTTCGGTCTCCTTTTCTACAGATTTAAATATATTTTAATATTTATGTATTTTTAAACATTTCTACCGGCAATTATTTCGCTTAAAACTAGCAAGAGTACTCCGTTCTAATTCTTAACTATAAATTTAATTTCTGCAACTAAAATAATTTCATTATTTTTAACATTTATTATATAAACAGTAAGTACAACATATAATACAAATTTTTTTTTTTATTTTAAATTTATTGATGTTTAAATTGTAAGATTACATAATTTATTTATACCCAACAGTATCGTTCGATTTATGGATACGGTGTATATAATTATTGGGCCTCAAAGGATAAGTCTGCGGTTTATTTCTGTGTTCATCTAAAGCTTTCCAATTAATGAACCAATAAGGTTGTTTATCTAACGGAATCTTGTAAAGTCGCTTGACTAAATTTATATCCCCCAATGCCTCGATCGGAATTCTTTCTGTAGTTTTTGGTACTTCTGTTACCAATCTGCAATAAAAAAAATTGTCAACAATTTGTTATGCAAATAGTAGTGTTACAAGGAAGAACTGGAGAAAAGTAGGTCACTGATGTTGATTAACTGCAATCGTTCTTTGTTTGTCTATAATATTAAAGAATGTTAAACGGCGAGAAGGATGTAATACAATTATATTTTACCCGTCCCCTAATTCATCATTAGACGTTGATATTGGTGTTTCACCAAGAATCGGATATCCAATAGGTCTTCTTCCCGCGTAAGACGGCCTCTGACATAAGCACGAAACAGCCAGAAGTGAAAACACGATGAAACTCTTAGTACTTGTCATAGTGATTCTGTAAAAGAGTCAAGATTTAAATTAATTGTTTTAATTTTATTTAGACTTCTTTAGAATTCTGCAAATATATTTATTTAGAATTTCAAAACTATTTACATTAGATTTTTATAGTAAACGAGTACACCATTTAAATTAGTAAATCATCGTATAAAGCTACCTCTCGCGGACTAGTGCAAAAATTATGATGGCGTTTTCTCACTCAATGGCTGTTGTTCGGTGACAGTATCTTTAAGTGAAAATTGAAACAGTTCCCTCGTCGCATGGGGTAACAACTAGTCACGCCACGATATTTTATTTAGTAGTATAAAATGAACTGATAGCAAATAACACTTTAGTTTAGAACTTTAGTTTGGTTATTAGAGACAATAACTGACAGTAGTCTGGGAGTATACTTTTTGGAGCTGAAGATGGTAACATATCAATTATGATTCAATTCATTATTATTTTCATTACTATAGGCCACATTAAGTCCACTGAGTAACAAAGGTCTGCCCGAAAGGATGGCACAGAGTAATGTCCCGAACGAACCCGAACTTCATCATTTCGTCACTTGCATTCATCAACTCTATACATTTAATCAGGTCCTTTCTTCATAGTATAATTCATAGATTAATTTTATATTTTTAATTTGCTTATTAGTAGAGCAATTGATAAAATTTTCTGCGTGGAAGCTACATAATTATAATTAATTAATTGAATTTCGCATATATAATGAAGTCTATATGGAACTAATGCCTTCGTCTGCCTCCTCTTTTAGGTGATCGCCACCTATCGAATCCTAGCAAAACAATTAAACATCTCAAAAATTGCTCCGAAGTTACACGATCACTAACAGACGCACTAACGATTATAATATTATTGTAGGTATACTGATTGTTTTATTGCGATAAAAAAATTATTTTAAACAAGTAAGTTGAGGCTATAAAACATGGCTTGATACCAGTTTCAGGATATGAAATTAGTATATTATTATTCAGTCAGCTGATAATTTTTATTAAGTGCTTTTTTAACCTTTTGAGTGGAGTGGATATTCCTTCATATCGTAATCTTAAAGTCGTCTAAATAGTTTCATAAAAACGTTTGTCCCCTATTTTGCCATTTTAGAAGTGGAATTTTTATTAGAAAAAATATATTATTGGAGATGATTGAAGAAAGGTCCCGAAGTATAAAATGAAATGAGTAAAAAGGTAAGAATGTATCGTATGGCGGAGAACGAGATTCCTCGTTTCTTCGTCCTTTAACTGGTAATGGAGCATTCCATCCAAGTTCTCAGGGGTGACAACGCATGCATTTTGATTCTTAATCGAGAATAAATAAAATAATCATAATAATTCTTAATTAACATTTCTTTATCTTAAATACTTTTTACAAATATATACATAACATAATGAAGATCAATTAGAAATGGGCAGAATCCTGAGTCACCTAGCTAGGTAGGTCCAATCACATTTAGATTGTGTGCTAAATTGGTATCCATTTTTATATAAAAATGTAATTTAGATATATTTCCTACATAACAGTAGACATCCTACATAGCATATCATATCATTCTACATATTAGACGTTTTAGCTGGTATTATATTTCCTCAATCGATATTGGCAGAAATGTTTCGAGTAGTCTTACAGGAATTACTGCTTATTCCAGTGAAGCTGATCGTAAAAATGCTCGCACATTTCGACCGATAGCACAAACTAGAAAATAAAATATCATTTCTTTTGATCTCGACATTCATACTGAAATTGTTCCCTTTGAAATATTTCCTTTGTCAAGTTACACCGTAATACCTGTTTTGCGTTGTACAAAAATAATGAAGAGTTACTTTACTGCGACATATATTTCTCCATATTTGGTTCGTGTAACTATATCGTTGGTTCAAGCAAATGGATTTATATCTTTATATATAATATAATTCTTCTATGCGTGTGTTTGTCACTGAACTCCCCCTAAACATCTGGACCAATTTTGATGATTTTTTTGTGTTAACTGGGAATTTGTAAGGTTTAAATTTACAATAGATCCCGCTAAGTCGCGCTATTGTTGTAATCCAGAAATTACCCTTGCAAAGCCGAGGCGAATCGTTAGTACCATTTAAAATTGTTGAGTTATAGTTAACTAGATCATTTGATTAAATTGATGCCATTAAAAACATAACTTGTAAAAAAAACCAAGTCTCGCAACTCAGTTCTACCACCGTAAAAAGTTGTGAGATCCATGTAATACCAAGTCGGTTAATTTATTCAGTCCCTACTTAAGGATCCTTCTGTTTTAAGTTATTACGTAATTAGCTAACCTAACAACATTTTATAGTGACCATATCAATGTTAAAAATCTTTTATGTTTTATATATATAAATTGACTTCGCCATCGCATGAAAACACAATGTATCACACAATAATCTGTGCAAGTAATAGATATTATATTAAATTAGATTGCTTAGTGCGATGGCCAAGTCAATCTATATATTTAAAACATAAAAGTTTACACTGATTCATTCACAGCAAATGTAACTTTGTAATTCTATATATTTATATAGGATTACAAAGTTATTTATGCAGTTAGTGTAATTGGAAAACTGGACCGAAATTAAAAATATTTTAGTTTTTCCTTGATTTATACACCAAACAATAATTGTATTCCGAATTTGAAGTTTCTATGTCTGCTAGAGGTGTCTTAGAGTTTTGATGATCGGTCAGTCAGTGAGTGATAAAATTAAGAAATTTTGACTAGTTATAATGCTTAAACTGCTGGTTCTAATTGAATGAAATTTGAAATATACCATCTTTATATAACGCCCACTTGGATATTGAAAATTCAGGCTTCTAGTTTTATCCACTACGATATTATAGGGAGTCGAAAATGGCCTGAATTGCTTCGAGAAAAGTATGGTACGGCCATGCCGCTTTTTTGCTCGACTTGGCGGGGACACTGCCGTGTCCCCAAATTAAATTTTGGGTAGGAATTTATCTACAGCGGATCTTGGCTATAGTGTTTGAGGAATGTGTCTTTGTTATGAGTTATAAATATCTATGCAAAAACGCATACTGGGGGGGGCATTATTACGTTATGACCAGTGCATGAACATCGTGCGTGCGTGCGTTCCGATCTCGTAAAAAGCTTTGCTCAGTACGATATGAGCAAATTCTTTATAGAATAAATACTATTTTAAACTTTCAGTAAAAATATTACAACCAGATGGTACAAGGAGTAAAAATTTAAAACAGAATGAGTATATATGTAGTACAGAATGAGTCCATATCTTGAAATAGGTTTGCTTGAACAGACGTGTGTTTTGATAAAAAAAATCATAATATGTGTTTGAAAAGGTGTTATAGCCAATTTTAAATAATAAATAAGTAATAAAATTAAACCCCCGGGAATGAGGTAATCGCTACCATGCTGTTTGTTATATGGAATTCAATTTTCCAACATTATAAATTGTTATTTAGAAAAAATCTCTAGCAGAGTTTCTAAACCTTTATAAAAGAAAGAAAAGAATAGAAAAATCTATTTTATTCTATTTTGCTACCAAAATAATAAAAATATTTATTTTAAGGTCGGTAGTATTATTAAAGTATTCCCTAAATAAGACTGTTAAACCTAGATTATGTTTGCAAGATTTACCGTGTGGAATTGCAGAGGCTTCTCTTAAACACACTCAGTAAATAAGAGGTAGGTACATATCTGATAATCATAACCATGAAATAATATGCTTACCTTTACATCCTATATATAGTCCACTGCTTAACATAGGCCTCCCATAGATCGCCTCATAGGTCGGATATTTCCATAGTTGTCACGCTTGGAAAGCTCGAACGATACGAGTTAGCCGCCAGAGCCGGGAGCCCGCCACTCACTGTTCGGACGGTCTTTAGATAACTCATTTACGTGCAATTTTAACTGACGTAGGTGAACTCGTTTCGCAAGTAACGATGCAGAATGACTTAATTTTAATCTTTTTGCTTTAAGCTCGCGGATGCGAGCAATAAGACCAAAGGCTAACAGCTTAGAAGCTGTAAAATCCAAAAGGATAACAGCACCAACATCATCGAAACCAGCTGGGATGGGAACCGCAGCTTTTTTATTTTTAGTCATTATTACGAACACGCTATTCAGAACACGCTGCTGCCGATCTCCCGATTTGTTTCCCTCTGTCGCCTCTTACGGCACCCACGGGATGTTATATGACGATATAATAATATGGGTAACTTAAGCATATTATTTCACTGCAGCTATGATTTATGTTCCTAAAAGTCATAATTATATTACAGACGTTCACAGCTCTATTAAACAAAAACCTCATCACCTATCACCTCAGAGAAAATAAAACGTTGCGTTTGTTAAGTCCCCAATTTTACCTTCCAGATTGAAGAAATTTAAGTGTGCCCACGAAGACACCTGTGTTGTGAATGTGTGCAAATCTCATGTATTATTTATGAAAAACGACATTTTCCCTAGAGTTTACGTTGTTAGAGTTTACACGCGTAAAAGAACAAAATTTTCCATAAATATATCATCATGCATGTAATATTTACGAATTGTCGAATTTTACGGCAAAGTTAAAGAGATTTCATTATATATCTCTTATTATTACGTTGTTTAAATGAAATATAAAATAAAATATAATTTATTTCTGAGATTTTCTAAATTGTTTAATGTTTCTTTTTAGTAAGAAATAAAGTAAAGTTGCAGCCTATATACGTCCCACAGCCGGGCACAGCTCCGCTCATTTCTGAGAATGTTTTACGTCAAGGAATTGTCCACCGCGCTGCCCCAATGCGTGTTGGCGAACTTCACATGTCTTCGAAATATTTTTTTTTCTTATTTCTCTGACATGCAGGTTTCCTCACGATGTTTTCCTTCACCGCCGAGCACGTGGTAAATCAGCACTTAAAATTGCAATTAACAATAACATTGGTGCCGATGGGGGTCGAACCCGGTTTGCTCGCGTACTGTGAAATTCACAGCGAGCGCTAACCATCTGAGCTACCAC